CCCGTGTCCCCCAACAGGAGAAGCCCCCACAACGAGAAGCCCATGCTCCGTAGCAAGGAGCAGCCCCTGCTCGCGGCAGCTAGAGAAAGCCCGCGCACAGCAACGAACACCCAGCACAACCAAACACAAACGCATAAAATTATTTTTAAAAAATTAAAGAACAGAAGCTCATTCAAATGGTACAGCTGTAAGGCACAGCAGTTCATCTGATTCTGATCGTATTTCTCACAAGTGTTCCAGGTGAAAGCAATCCCTAACACCCCATCCAGCAGAAGCTGTCGAACAGTGGGCTCCTGTTTTCTCATGTGCTGTGCTTGGTCGCTCAGTCGTGTCCGACTCTGCGACCCCATGGACTGCAGCCCGCCAGGTTCCTATATCCATGGGATTCTCCAGGCAAGAATACTGGAGTGGGTTGCCACTTCCTCCTCCAGGGGATCTTCCTGACCCGGGGACTGAAACCAGGTCTCCCGCATTGCAAGCGGACCCTTTACCATCTGAGCCACCAGGAAAGTCTATTTTCTCGTAGAGTCAGAGAATAAAGCTTTAAAGGAGCCATCCGCAGGTTCTCTTGAGAATTAATGGGAAACTGTTTCCAGTAGGGTTTTTTTTTACCTTTAATTATGAAAATGTTCAAATAAAAACAGAAACAAAGCAGAAAGCATAATGCACCCTCATGAACCCATCAGCCACCTTCAACAATCATCAACTCGACCAGTCTTATCTCATCTGTTCCCCCACCCACTCTGAAATTGTTTTGCACAAATCTCCGACAGCACATCATTTCATCTGAAAATGTTTTGGTGTGTACCTCTCAACGATAGGGAATCTTGGAAAAAAAACAAAACACGATACCATTTTCACACTTTAAAAAAATAAACAACTTCTCATTAAAATACAGAGTTCAGATTTCCCAGTTGTTTAAAAAAGTCCACCCCCCCCCCACATTTTGTTTAAATCAGGATCCAAAAAAAAGATTCAGCTCTTTCTCTGCTTTGCAATTTATTGCTAAAGAAACGAGGTCATTTGTCCTGGAGAGTTTTCCATGGTCTGAATTTTTTCTAACCACATCCCTGTGGTGGTTTTCAACATATTCCTCTGTAAGTTTATTTGTTAACTATCAATGTGTTTCCTGTAAATTGGTGGTTAGATCTAGAGACTAGGTCAGACTCAGGTTTAGTTCTATTGGAAACATCCTTCAGAGGAGGTGCTATGTGCTTCCATCAGAGGAAGTGAATGAGTGATTTCTTTTTGTGTTGCTGGCAGCCTGGAATCATTGTCTAGACCCCACTCACTGACTAATGCCTAGTCATTTTAAGGAACAAGTATGGCTGTCTCTGAGTAACACAATCAGAAAAGCATTTCCTGGAATATGCATTGTCCGTTTGTTTGTATTTCCCAGTCTTGAAGACAGCCCTGCAAGTCTTGGTGGCTGCACCCTGGGGCCCATCCCAGAGCCCTTTAGGGAACTGTCTGCCGGGACTCTGCAGGTGGGTTGGCTCTGTGGGGGTGCTGTGGCCACTTTTCCCCACTAGAGGACACTGTGGCTCCAGGACTTCACGTGGTTCCCAGCCACTCTTGTGACTCCCAAGCCTCTCAGAAGGCCACGCCTTTGGCGTGCAATTATTAGGCACCAACGGTGTGCCTCCTGGGTCGAGGGGAGAAAGAGGTCAACCATAAAATTTTGTGGCACTGTTTCCCAAGCTAGTTTTTCTGTATTGTCTTTTAAAAATAAACCCAGGTACTTCTCCCATCTTTTGGATAACACTTTGGACCCCAGTGCTGTAAACTGCAAATTTGGTTCCTTGGTTTGGGGGAGAAAAACAAAAAAATGGCAATATAGGGGCTTTTCAGAATGTGAAGGGATCCAGGAAAGATGTCAAAGTGTATTAATCTCTGAAATAATTATTCATGTATTCAACACCATGTATCGAGTATCCAGGAGGAAGAGGGTGCTGATTGAGAGGTACTCTGTGCCAGGCACTCTTCCTTTTTACTACATGTGTCAAGCTGTGTCATATTGTGTGTGTGTGTGTGTGTGCGCGCACTCAGTCATGTCCAACTCCTTGCAACCCCATGGACTGTAGCCCGTCGGGTTCCTCTGTCCATGGGATTTCCCAGGCAAGAATACTGGAGTGGGTTGCCATTTCCTACTCCACGGGATCTTTCCAACCCATGGATCAAACCCACGTCTCTTGAGTCTCCTGCATCGGCAGGTGGATTCTTTACCACTAGCGCCACCTGGGAAGCCCTGCATCATATTAGCCTCATTCAAATCCATGGAAACTAAGGTTCGTTGAGCCTAAGTGAACTAACCTGCTGGAGGTTATCTTGCTAGATGCAAATGGAAGTCTGTATGAATAAAGATATGTGTTTTCCACTAACCCCCTGGATACCATATCAAAGGGCATCGTTCTCAGAGGTAGAGAAAGTGAGGTGATTCTGAAGGCATCCTTTCCTTGTGGAGGTCCTGCTGTAGCATGGACTCTTACAGGGACCCCGATAAGTGGTCAGCCTCATGACACACAGGCTCTGCTGCTGTCCTTGATGCGGGGGCAGGTCACAGACCACTAGTCACACGGCTCCGCCGGGCTCCGCTGCCAGGACGCCCTTGTGTGGACTGCCCGCTCCCCCTCCGCCCCTGTGACCAAGGCCCTCAGGGCATCTTCGGGATTCAGGCTTTGACCCATCCATCCACTTGGAATATATAGCAAAGCCAAGACAGACATAGCCCCTACTTTTCGCAATCTAGTTCCACAGAAGAAGACAAAGGAGACACATGTGTTATCAGGGGAAAGCAACAAGCTCTGGCAAATTCTGTGCTAATGTAGCAAATAATTTCAAACCCACCCCCAGCCTTGTCCCCATTACCTCACAGTTCAGTCCTGGCGGCACAGCCGCACTCACAGCATAGGAGCCCCAGCTGTGTAATTGACTGAATGCAGTTACATTATTGAGAGAGAGTGACAGCTGGCAGTTGGGAGGATGGACTGACGGGCTTAAGCTGGGAAGGAAGATACAGGTGGCGGGCATCTAAAGGCACAGAGCTTGGAGTGCTTGGAGAGGCCCAGTTCCCCTCGACACCTCAACCTCAGGCAATCAGAGCCTCAAGGTTCTGGGAAGGGAGGACGAGCGTGGGTGTGCTCCAGCCCCCAGCCTCCTCCAGAGGAGCCCTGAGATAATGAATGAGCCATCAGCCTGCGCCTCTGCTCTCCTGTGAAAGGACCTCCCACCGCAGACCAGTCCTCTGCAGATACAATTGTTCCCCAGGAGCCATCTGGCAAATGTGCCCGCTTCTTCAGCGGTTCTGGTATTTCCCTGGCTTGCAGCCCCTTCCTCTTGGATATAAATTGTTGCAGCGAACCGCGCCAGTAGAATGCTCGCTGGCGCTTCACTGGCTTTCCCCGAGCCTGGTTAACCCCATGGCTCGCAGCCTATGAGGCTGTTCACAGCTAACGGATGTCTCGGACGCCTGCGTGTCTCCTCTCTGCTGTTCTTGTGTATTTGGGAGCATGTAGAGCAGGCAATACAAGCTGCAGACCGGAGCTGCCTCCGCCGCAGCCACCAGCTGAAGCAGCTGGGAGGACAAGCGCATTTCCGTTGCAGGACGTCCTTCACGGAAAAGGGACAGGTTAACTCCATCTCTCTGCAGAGGACTCGGCCCGCTCCCCGAGGAGCCACAACAGGCCGCCACAGCTGTAGGACAGATCACGTGCTCCGGTCACACGCGGGAGGCTGCCCAGCAAGCCCAGACAGACTGCCCGTGCCAGCCCGCCGCTGGGCCCCCATTTTGCACAAAGCCATGTCCCTCCCCTGACCCAGCCTGATGGTGTGCAAGGCTGGAGAATTATGGGTCACCTTGGAGCCACTCGTGAGCCAGCCCCCTATTTCCAGCCTGCTTTCTTGATTCTAATTTAGAGAATAGAGAAAGGCAGGAGACGGAAAGGGAGCCTTGTGAGTCTCTCATCTCCTTGGTGACGATGCTTTATGGACAGGGGGGCCAAGCGGAGTCGTCAACCATAAGCCCCCCTCACCCCCATTCAGGGAGTGCTGGATTGTTCCAAAGGGGTGGGAGAGAAAGGAGTCAGTGCAGAAACTCCCAGAATGTCTCCATCACCCTAACAACGAGCGGGCAGTTTCTATGCAGATTCACACCTTCCTGCCTCAGTACATGCAGTTCCCTCTGTCTTGAACGCATCAGGCTTCATCCACCTGGCCAACTCCTACTTGGTGGTCTCCTAAGATTCAGTTCTGGAAAAAAAAAGATTCAGCTCTGGAATCACTTACTTGGACCCCCTTTCTGCCATCACATGCTCTGCATACATCTCTACCCAGTACCCATCACATTGTACTGGTTTTTTTTTTTTCCCCTAGCTTTTTAGTATGTCTCCTCCACCCAACTTAGACCTCAGTGAGGGTCTAATTCATCTCTGTGTCTGGAGCCTCAGCTGTAAAAATGTTCATCAGCAGTGTTTTGGAGGGGAAAATCAGAGACCGCAGAATTGAAAGCTGGATCTTCCTACTGAAATCCCCTAGTCCCACCCACATGGTTTGCAAGAGACAGAACTGAGGTTAGGAACCTGTGCCTTCCCCAGGGTCACCTGTCTGTGGGCAGAGCTTGGACATGAACCCAGGCCTGCGAGCTCCTGGGCCTGCTCGCAAGTGCTGAGGAATCCTATCCTGATGTGCATTTGTCCACTCCAGCCTGTGTAGAAGGGCTGACCAGAAATGATTAGGCTTCTGAGCTGGCAGCAGGAGGATGAAGGATTAGAATGAAAACAATTGAATTTCAGAGCCAGAAGAGATGTCACAAGTCATCTAGTCTGACCTCTGCATTTACAGATGAGGAGACGGAGGCCCTTGGGGTTGAGCTGCTTTGCCCAAGGTCGCTCGGCAAGCCGGTGGCAGAACTAGGGCGAGAATGCAGGCCTCCTAATCCCCAGGAGACCTGGAATGACCTTCCCACTCCAGAAAGATGATGGCCAAGCCCCCCTGACCAGCTGCTATCTGAGGGGCGGATCCCTGGAGTCCTGGACTCTTCTGGGCTTTTCTTTCCCTCTCTCGGTGACATGGCACTTAAGTAGGGTGCATGCTGCATAAATGATAAAGCATGACTCCCTTCCAGGGAGGAAGGCCGCGTCTGGGCAGGCAGTGTGACAGATGGTATTTACAATGTGTACTGAGAAGTTCTCACACAGCCTCACTTGGGCGGAGTGGCTGAGATGGAGGAAGCAGATTTGCATGCCCACCGTCTCACTCCTGTGCCTGGCATTCCTGCTGCTGCTGCCGCCGCTGCTGTGTTTCTGTCCAGTCTCCCTTGCACTGGTTGCCCCTGGCCATTCTGGATCTGGAGCTCCAGGATGGTCGGCTGCTGCTGCTACATCCTCATCATCAGAAAGGACCCCAAGGCATCCTTCAGCAGAGCAGATGCTAGACTCACTGACATTCTCCCAGAAGGAGGCCGAGGAAGTCTTCTGAGGCCAAACCCTGGGCTGCGTTCCTAGGAATTCCGACATCCGGGAACCCTTCCCCAGGCCTGGAGAAGGAGAAATAGGAGAGATTCGTTCACTGAACAGGTCATTGTTGCCGTTCAGTTGCTCAGTCGTGTCCGTCTCTTTGCAACCCCACGGACTGCAGCACACCAGGCTTCCCTGTCCTTCACGATCTCCCGCAGTATGCTCAAACTCGTGTCCATTGAGTCAGTGATGCCATCCAACCTCGCCCCCTTCTCCTCCTGCCCTCAATCTTTCCTAGCATCAGGGTCTTTTCCAATGAGTTGGCTCTTTGCATCAGGTGGCCAAAGGATTGGAGCTTCAGCTTTAGCATCAGTCCTTCCAATGAATATTGGAAGTTGAGTTCCTTTAGGATGGACTGGTTTGATCTCCTTGCTGTCCAAGAGACTCTCAAGAGTCTTCTCCAGCACCACAGTTGGAAAGCATCAATTCTTCAGTGCTCAGTCTTCTTTATAGTCCAGTTCTCACATCCATGCGTGACTACTAGAAATAGTCACAGCTTTGAATAGACAGACCTTTGTCGGCAAAGTGATGTCTTTGCTTTTTAATATGCTGTCTAGGTTTGTCATAGCTTTTCTTCCAAGGAGCAAGCATGTTTTAATTTCATGGCTGCCGTCACTGTCCCCAGTGATTTTGGAGCCCAAGAAAATTAAATCTGTCACTCCTTCCACTTTTTCCCCATCTATTTGAGTAGGTGCTTGCTGTGAACCTTCCAGGTGCCAGGAATCATTTTAGAAGTCAAAGATTCTGCTGTCAGCAAACAGAGCCAAGTGCTTTTCCTCATGGAGTATATGCTCAAGCAGGAAGTTTACCACAGGCTTTGTGGCAGATTGCCTCCAGACTCTGTCCCTTTCACTCTGCACAAACTCCCGTCTGACTCTGCAGTGAGGGGTGACAGCAAACCACTCCCCCTCCTGGGGACACCGCACATGCAGCTCAACAGCAACAAAGCAGAAAACAATCCAATGGCTTTGCTTCACAGCCAGAGACCCTCCCAACATTCTGACTTCTACCAGCCTACAGCTGGACAAGCCCCACCTACTTGCCCTGGGAGAAGGTCACTGCAGGCCATGGTCAGGACCTGTGTATTTAACTTTTTTTTTTTTTTGGCCATGTGGTGTAGCTTGCAGGATCTTAGTTCCCTGACCAAGGATCAAACCCCCGGCCTCCTTCATTCGGAGCATGGAGTCTTAGCCACTGGATTGCCAGGAAAGTCCCTCTTTAAATCTTAAAATAAGAAATTTGGGGGCTTCCCTGGTGGCTCAGTGGTAAAGAATCCACCTGCCAATGCAGGAGACATGGGTTCGATCCCTGGTCTGGGAAAATCCCACATGCCCTGGCGCAACTACTGAGCCTGTGCTCTAGAGCCCGGGAACCGCAGCTGCTGAGCCCACGTGCTGCCACTACTGAAGCCTGCGTGCCCCAGAGCCCGTGTTCCTCGGCACGAGAAGCCACCACAATGAGAAGCCTTCACACCGCAGCTAGAGAGTAGCCCCTTCTCGCCACAACTGGAGAGCCCACGCAGCAACAAAGACCCAGTGCAGCCAATGAAGAAAATAAAAACCCAGAAAGCCTCATTTTCATTTAAAAAAAGAAAAATTTGGTGAAAGGGATGGAGAATCAAACCCCTTCTGGGTCCGGGGAATCTTACTGTCCCCCCTTTGCATCTGTTCTGCTACCTCAAAAAGGCCGGGTTTTGAGGATGAAATGAAATGACAAATATGTAAGTGCTTTGAAATAAAGGCAACAGAGATACAATTGTATTTTTATTATGCAGAGAAATCTTTTCTGTAAAACATAAAACTTGTTTCTTATCGAGGGCTGAGACTAGTAACTGTGTATTAGACCCCATGTCAGGTCAAGAGACATCCTCTGTTTTTCATTAAAGAGACATTTGTTCGACTCCTACCGTGTGCAGTGTTGGGTATTGTGATGGGGGTGACACTGAATAAGCCATAATCTCTCCTTCAAGGAATATGTATTTGGGTACAAGGAAGGCAAAACTTAGATAATGTAATGCAAGGTCAAAAGGAAAAAGTGATCCAGAGGAAGCAGTGGTTCTGCTTGGGCTTGGAGGGTTGAGCAAAGACTTCTGAAGGAGAAAGCATCCATCAGAGAACACACAATTGAACTCGAAGGTGCTGTCTGCTAAGGACACGGGGCCTACCTGTGGCATAACCAGAGGTCACACAGAGCGTTGGCGGCCCAAAGAGAATCCAGAAATGGGACCCTGGGCACAGCCTACCCCCAAGGAGGTGGCAGAGAGGGAAGAGGGGACGCAGACAAGCAGCTGAGGGTTTCCCTGCATGTGTGTGTGTGCTGTCATCTCAGTCAAGCCGACTCTGCAACCCCCTGGACTGTAGCCCGCCAGGCTCCTCTGTCCATGGGATTCTCCAGGCAAGAATACTGGGATGGGTTGCCATGCCCTCCTCCAGGGGAGCTTCCCGACCCAGGGATCAGACCCACATCTCCTGGGGCTCCTGCATTGCAGGCAGATTCTTTACCACTGAGCCACCTAGGAAGCCCTTCCCTGCATGTGCGATTGGCTAAATCTTGGAACTGGGCAAGTTTCCCCTCTGCTTTTCTGAGCTTTTCCCTTTTGGGTGCCCATGCCTCTCTTTGAAAGGATCTGGTGTCTGTGGACCTAGACGTCTCCGGTGATTTAAGTTCCCTGGAAAATCGGGGGCCCTGGAGTGAAAGGGGAAGAGAGGAAAAGGCCAGAAGAAAAAAGAAGTCCATTTAGCAACCTTGTTGCGTTTGATCTCAGAAACAGCAGGCAATAATGGAAGAATGTTGGAGCTGGGGACGGAGGAGGGTTGGATTCCAAGTGTCGGTCTCCTCCCTGAGCCGCACCCGCTGTTCGGACTTGCAGACTTCAAACATGACTGGGGGATTCCGGGAAGACAAAAGAATTCAGGGCCGGGGCTTGGATCTCAGTCAAAAATAACTCATGTCTTCATCTCAAGCAGCTCGGGGCTGTTTGCAGGTTTCTCAGAAGATGGAGCTGGATGCAGGCAACGGGGACCATCAGGGTCAGTTTTAGGTTTGCTTTGGGGAGAAAAAAAGTGCCTTGAAGGGTGTGGGCCCAGCTGAGGGAGACATCAGGATAGGAAACTGCTGTTGCAGACAAGGCCTAAGCTGAGAGGTTCTGGAGAAAAAGTCACCCCCTTTTACCCCTCCTTCTCAGCGCTGCCATTTGCTTTGAGCAGTAATTATAGCTCTTAATGTTTCTTCCCTGTCTTCTCATTAGCTCACCGTGTCCACAAACAAACTCCTGGGCCCCCCTCACCACCCTCCTTCCCTCCCCCTGGCTTTCCTGCTTCTCCAATAGCAGGCCCATTGTGCTGGTGCTCCCGGCCCACCAGAACATCAGTTCCTTGAAGAACCCCCTCTCCCTCTCTTGGTGGGTGCATCTTAGACACTCGGCCCCCCAGGCAGCTCTTCCTCCCTTATCCCACTGGGCTGTAATTAGAGGATTATCTAATTTTCTCCCAGGAGGCCAGGGTCTGGATCTTATTCCCTTTGTATTCTCAGCACCTCGGCCAGGGTCTGGCAAAGAATGGACACTCGCAATGTGTTAGTTGAATTGCTCTCCTGGGCTGCTGCCAACTTAATCTTCCTAAAATGCCGCTCCAGTTAGAGGCCGCCACCACTTACTTCTTCCATCACCCATTAAGCAAGGTCCAGGCTCCTCAGACTGGCACTCAAAGACTTTCTCGACACGAGTTCTCACCCGTCTGGCCATCCCCAGTTTGTGCTCACCCACTGAGTTGTTCCCAAGACAGTCAGTGGCTTTCCTGTCTCTCTGCTTTTACTGCTTTGGTTCTGTCCCCCGAGAAACACTTCCACACTCTACTGCAAAGCTGCCCCCTCTGTCAAGGTTCATCTCCATCGCTCATCCTGCCCCTCTGAGTTGAGTCTGACACTTCAGGGTTTGAACTGCTCTCTCCCAGGCTCTTATCCTGTTCAGTGTTCACTTAGCATTTGGCTGTCGTGTGGTTAGTCGCTCAGTCGTGCCTGACTCTTTGTGACCCCATGGACTGCCAACACCAGGCTCCTCTGTCCATGGGCTTCTCCAGACAAGAATACTGGAGTAGGCTGCCGGGGATCTTCCCAACCCAGGGAACAAACCTGCGCCTCCTGTGTCTCCTGCATTGCAGGCAGATTCTTTATCCCTGAGCCATCGGGGAACTTCAAAAGAAGTCATGGGTGTTGAGCTCTTACACAGTGGAGAGCAGAGTGTCAATGCCAGTCCACCTCTACTGACCGTCATCTCCAGGCAGACCCAGGGTTCCCTTGGGCAGGGCCCATGAACCTGAGTGCCTGGCCTTGCAGCATCCAGTGAAAGTGGGTGGTCACCATGCCCTTTCTCTCCTCTCTCCCCATTAGGACTCAGAATGTGCTGGTCCTCAGGTCGTCTCAGAGTAGGACCAGAGCTGTCAGAGAGCCTGGCCACTCCTACCCATCAGGGGTTCTGGGCCTTGGGACCCAAGGTCCAGTCCCACTGCCTGCTGCGGGGTGGGCTGGCCCCAGCTGCATTTTCCCCTGGGGCCGAGAAGAGCCACGGGCTGGCTGGTGAGGCGGAGGCAACGCTGAGGGCAAAAGGTGCGTGTGGCCGCAGGTTCATAGGAGCTGCTGGATGTCACAGCTGGTCTCCAAGTCCCGGTGGCGGCACTCCTTCCAGCAGGGGCTGGGCGTGGGCTCTGAAGCAAGAGTCCTTGCTGGAGTTCAGGAATTCTTCGCCAGGAGACTTGGGAACACTGTCTGCCAAGGTGGGGTGAGGCGTTCCTAGGACTGATGGAGGAACAGCATCCCCTTCCGGATACCTCCCAGAGCCCCCCCTTCCCCTTTATTCTAACTGCTGCTGCCCTCACGGCCGCTTCCTTGGATCCTTGTTGTTCAGTCGCTCAGCTGTGGCTGACTCTTTGCAAGTCCATGGACTGCAGCACATCAGGCTTCCCTGTCCTTCACCAACTCCCAGAGGTTTACTCAAACTCATGTCCATTGAGTCCTTGGATGGCACCTCCCATCTCCCTATGCTTAGGGTTAGGGAGGCCAGCCTCCTAGACAGATTTTCTTTGACCAGGGATTGAAAGGCAGTCAAAGTGTGGAGTCCTAACCACTGGGCCACCAGGGAATTGTCTAGAGGGATCTTTTCAAATATTACTTTCCTGCTCACAATCCTTTGGTGGCCCCACTATTGCCCTTAGGGCAAAGTCCAAGTCCCTTTCTCAGGAAACTCCTCACAGCCCTTTAAACCTTCAAACCCTCTGCTCCAGGCTGGGATCTTTTTTTTTTTTTTTTTTTATGTGGATCATTTTTAAAGTCTTTCTTGAATTTGTTACAATATTGCCTCTGTTCTATGGTTTCTTTTCTTTGGCCTTGAGGCTTATGGGATCTTACTTAACTCCCCGCCAGGGACTGAACCCTTACCCCTTGCATTGGAAGGCAAAGTCTTAACCACTGAACCACCAAGGAAGTCTCCCAGTCCGGGTTCTCTACATTGAGTTCCTTGCTCTAATTTCCAGCCATGCCAAATTGATTCTAGTTCCTTTTCCAAACCAGACTGCTGCCCAAGCCCAGCCTCTGTCCATGCCATTCCCTCCGCCTGGAAGGTCTCCCTCCAGCTTTCCCACTTTGCTCCATTTGGGGGCATATCTTTTGGGAAGCCCTCTTGGACCCAGAGGAACCCCCTCCTTTGGGTTTCTATACCCCTTGGACTTCCCTGGCTGTCACTCCCAATTAAATAGCTTCTGGAGGTCTGGGTCTGGATCTTATCCACCTCTATTCCCAAAGTTCTGTCTCTGGCACTTAGTAGGAGCCCAGCAGAGGTTCAGGAACTGAACGGAGCCTGCTGAGGTCCCTTCCACTGGAGGGGATGACAGAATTGGATGGGTTGATAAGAGCTGACCCTGGGCTGAAGAAAAGGCAGAACCCAAAGAGCAACTGAGGTCAGAGACTGCCCAGAGACCAAGCCCTCCCTGAGCTCTTCTCCCCTCTCCCCTGGAGCTGCCCACTTCCTGCCCACTTCTCCAGCCGGGAAGATCTAAGCGTAACACAGCCAGCACCCAGGCAGGTCCTGCAGGTGAGAGGAGCGGGGGTGGTGGGCGCCGTGCCACTGCCCCCGGGCCCCTGGCTGCCCCTTGTCCTTTGGGCTTCTTTCCACAAAGGAGGCCATCGGCCTCTCTTCTGTCCCCTGAAAGCTGTTTCCAAAATCACATCCTATGCAGACAGTTTTATTTACAAGGAAATCTTGGCAGGATCTTGACTTGTTAGTAGAGTAGGGGTGGGGGGAGGGTGGTGAGAAACAAAAATAGTTGGAATGATCACACTTTCTGAAACCAGAGATGAAAATTGGTGTCTGTAGCAAACTCACCTAATTAGAATGGAGTTAATTTCCTTCTCTGGGTTTAGGGGGAGCAGTTATTGTCGGCTGAGATGGTCACAGGTTGGATCCTGGGGTTATGTGTTTGCTTTATGAAGATGAGCACATTAATTGCAACTTGCACTACTGGAAAAGAGCATCCATTTCTGAGAGGGAGAGAGAGGAGCAAAGGCCAGTGGGTGAGTGGGTGGTGGTAAGAGGAGTGGAAGGAGGCACCTTTGGTGTGGGCTGGGGGCTGACTGGGGGACATCACCAGAAATGAATCCCTGAGGCCCTGGGAGAGCAGAGCACCTGTCCCAGCCGGCCACTGGCACCGTTTACAGGCAGAGCCCCTGCTTAAGGGAGACTGCCTCTCCTGGGAGGTCTTTCCTGCAAGCAAACAGCACCGATTTTTTTCTTTAGAAGATGTCCTACTCCTCTGGCTCCAACTCGATTCCTACTTGCTGTAGTTTCTTTACCTCCCATCTTGCCCGGTCCTACCTTTGTCTGCCTGGTTCAGTGAAGCCAGGATACTGTCCCATAGCTCTGGGAGTGCGGAGGGCAAGATTTCAGGGTTTGGGGTCCGGGACTCCTCTGATTTCTCCCTACCTGAGCCTGCCCGGACCTCCCAGGATCCGGGACCTTAGTGAGGGAAGGGTGGCGGTGGGGGCGGGGATCCTGTCTTCCTAGCATCCTGCCCCCATTTCACTCCCAGTTAACCCCGACATTGCCAACTTAGCGAGAACCTCGCCCGTGCCACCTTCACACGTCTGCTGCCTCCAAGTCAAGTTAGCCCGGTGGGTCTCGGCAAGTAGACACTGCACCCCACCCCACCCCCCATCCCTCACCCCACCCGGTCCCACACGGAGAGACAAACCCGGGCCGGGCCGGGCCGGAGGCAGGTGGCTATGGGGCCCGGGCCCGCGCAGCCCCACCCCCGCCCGGGGCCATGCCGCCACTTCCCCGCCGCGCCCGCCGCAGCCCTCCTCCTCCCCGGGCCGCGGCGCTCTGACCGACTTGGCCCGGGCGGGGGCGCCCGGGGGTGGCGGGTGGGGGGCGGCGGTCCCGGGAGCAGCCCCGCCCCCGCCTGCGCACCGCCCCCGAGGAGTCCGCGGGGAGGAGGAGACTCGGGCGCAGAGCGGGGGCCGCGGGAGGCGAGGAGGGAGCGCGCGGGGAGCCGCGGGGCCGGGGCCGGCCCAAGGGCGCCCTCGCCTCGGAGCCGGGCGTTGGGGCCGGGGAGGAGGCGGAGGCCGGCGGGGCCGCGGGCGCCGCGAAGTTTACGGCGGAGGGCCTGGCGTCCCGGGGTCGCGAGGCGGCGGCGCGGGGGCCGGGACCATGGGGGCGGAGGCGGAGGCGGCGCGGCGCGCACTGGCAGCCCAGAGCGGCGCGGCCGCCGCGGCGCAAAGTTAGCCGGGCGCCCCGGGACGAGCCCCGCAGCCGCGCCGGGCCCCGGACGCCGCCCCGGCATGGGCGAGCACCCCAGCCCGGGCCCCGCCGTGGCCGCCTGCGCCGAGGCGGAGCGCATCGAGGAGCTGGAACCCGAGGCCGAGGAGCGGCCGCCGGCGGAGGACGTGAGTGCCCCCTCCCCCGCCCGGGCAAACTTTCTAGGGGGCGGGTGGGCACCGCTGCCCCCGACTCGCCCCCCGCGGGGTAACTGGAAGGTTTCAAGGTGACGCGGGAGCGCCCCGGATTGGCCGGGTCCCCGCGGGCTGGAGGGGGCGGAGGGAACCGGTCTCCCCGAAACGCGCGCGCGCCGTCCCCTGCTCGGGCTGCCGGGGCTTCCCGGCGGAGCGCAGCGCCCGCCGCTGCGCCGGGGACCCGCCGGCCCCGAGTCCCCTCCCCGCGGCTGGTGCAGTGCCCGGGACACGGCGTTTTCCCGCAGAGGCGGCCGCGTCACAGCAGTGGCTCCCCTCCCCTCCCACTCGCGACCTGCGGGCTCTCGGAGCCGGGGAAGGAGCGGGCGCCGCAGAGTCCCCGGAAGCCGGCGGCGCAGACCGCCCTGGCGACCCCTTCTCCGGTCACTGATGAGCCCCGGCCCGGCACTTGCCCTGTCCAAGACCCTGATCGAAATTCTAATTGGCCCCTGGGCCCCAGCCCGGCTGGAGGACGGACAGGAGGAGTGCCGGGAGAGCTTTCGCTCCCAGAGGGGGGCTTAGGAGTCCCAGACCGCGTCGGTGCCAGCGACGGTCCCCTGGGGCGGATAGGGAGGGGTGCCCCACAGGGCTTCCCTGCCATCTGCTGCCGGAGTCTCCCCGCCTCCCTCCGGTCCTGGGAGCCATGGGCAAAGCCGGCACCGGGGAGTCCTGGGAACTGGAGTTTCTTAAGCTTCTCCCTCCCGAGGTTAACCTGCTCCGCAGAGGTGAAAAACTGGGCAGACTCTCCGCCCTGGCCCTGACCTCTCAGGGTGGGGACTGGGAAGTGAAGCCGGCCCCCCCGACAGTTTACCCAGCCTCAGCCGGGAAGTCTGAATAGGGTTGTATCCCCTCTGGCTCTTGTGCTTAAACCCCCTCTGTTGCTCTGGTCCCATCGCTTTGGCTGACTCTTAGGGGCTCCTCACTTAGGCTCAGCCTGCAAAGAAACAGGGGTGGGTTTCAGAGCATGCAGGAACCCCCTCCTCCCAAAGTAGAGGCCAAACCTTAATGTTTATGCCCGGATGTGTTTTCCGGATAGGGGGTCTTTGACCCCCAGCAGGTGGAGACGGCTGCAGCCGTCTGATGGAATTGCAGGAGATGCATCCGGGCATGCATTCCCAGGCCTGGGAGTAGACACCGAGATAGGAGCTAAGCGGCAGAAGTTATTAGAGGCCCTTGGACAGAATGATAGGCTTTTTTTTTTTTTTTTTTTTTAAGGAATTGTTGAGACTCACCCTTGCTCTGCTCATGTCCCCTCCTGCGCATCCTAGAATGAGGGATGCTCTCCCTCCCCAGTCTGAGTTCTCCCACCTTTGCTAGGTGTAGACTCATCTGGGAAGAACTTCGCAGGGCTCCCCGGCCTCGGGCCCCTGAGCCTGGGCCCGCAGCTGGGAGGCTAGGTCGGAAACAGCGGGGGGCTGCAGAGCCTTGGTGATAAGTGTGTTTCTTTCTTTCTCTCCTCCTCCTCCTCTCCTGCATGGCTCCTTCTCTACCAGCACTGGAAAGTCCTGTTTGATCAGGTAGGTGAGCAGTTAAATGCCCCCTCCCTTCCTGCCAGCGCTCCCCAGTCTCCCTGCCTGCGTGGGCTTCCCCAGCTCGCACTCCTGAGACGGTGACGTGGGGTGGGGGTGTGGCCTAAGGCAGCTCTGGGTCTGAATGGTACTGCTCTCCACTGCTCTCCAGGTTTGGGGCGGGGGGGGGGGGGGGCTCCCTTAAGAGATCCTTCCCTGCCTCCTCCTCTCAATGCCACTCCGCGGGAACCAGCTTTACACCAGGGAGAAATCCGACAATACGCATTGAAAGCCTGAGATGTTCTCTGTGTGCAAGGGGATGGCACGTTTGGGCTGGGGAGGTGGGGGAAGGGCTTAGGTGAACATCCCCCCCCCCCACCTTTTTTTTTTTCTCCTCCCACCATCACAGATCCACGGCCACCTCTGAGGTCAGATCCCTGCCATCCTTGGCGGGTGACTCAAATATGAGCCCTATTTGAAAGCTGACCACTCTTGATTTTGCCTCAGGGATGGGGGAGCTATAGACTGAAAACACTTATGTGATTGTTTGCAGCACCTCAAGTCGAGGTGTGGGAGGTGGAGTTGGAAGTGCCCTGCACTGGCTTTGGAATGGGGAGACCCACACTTGACCTTCAGCAGGGAAATGGTTCACTTCTTTGTTGGGAGCTGCTTTTGCATGCTCTTGTGTGTGTTTCCTTCTCCTTCCCTGTTTCACGAGCTGCCCAGGTGTGGGGGAACCGTGAGCGTGGTGCCCTGGGCTGAAGACGATTATGCCATGAAGTGTGTGCGACGCTAAGACACCAGTCTGGTTGGGTCAGAGGGAAGGTGTTGGGTTGGAGAGGCAGATAAAACTGAAAAAGTAGCCTGCACCAGACCTCATCCTGTTGAGTGCAGGGGAAGCCTTTCAAAATATTTTTGGCAAGTTTGTTACAAGATCCAGGGGGTACTTTGGGAGGATGCTGTGTGAGAGTGGGGTAGAGATGAGAAGCTGGCTAGGAGCCTACTGCAATGCATGGAGACAAGCACCTTGACTTGGAAAAGTGGGAATGGAAAGGAAGGAGGACATGGTGATGGGAGAATCGGAAGATCTTATTAGACCAGAATAGATGAGGTGAACCACATGTATTACTTTGAGGTTCTAAATGTAGATTTGGGACTTCCCTGGTGGTCCAGTGGCTAGGATTCTGCACTCCCGATGGAGGGGACCTGGGTTTGATCCCTGGTTGGGGAACTAGGTCCCACATGCCACAACTAAGAGGTCCGTGCTGCAACTAAAGATCCTGCATGCTGCAATGAAGATCGAAGATAGATCCGAACAGATCAGTTCTACCACATGTGTAACATCGAGGTTCCGAACCTGAGAGGAGGAGAAGTAAGAGTTTGTAAAACTGACAACTTTGATTTCAGACCAGTTCAATTTGAGTCAGCTAAATGCAGATACCCAGTGGGACTGAAAACATGGAATTCAGGGGACTTCGCTGGGGGTCCAGTGGTTAAGACTTCGCCTTCCAATGTGTGTGTGGAGGGGTTCTATTCCTGATGAGGGAGCAAAGATCCCACATGCCTCTGGGCCAAAAAAAAATCAAAACATGAAACAGAAGCAACATTGTAACTAATTCAATAAAGACTTTAAAAATGGTCTACATCAAAAAAATCTTTAAAAAGAGAAAACATGGAATTCAGCTTGAAAGACAGGGTGGGCCTGGAGTGGAGATTTGGGGGGTGTCATCACCTTGACACAAGGCCTGACTGTGATGTGGGGAGCTTCCCACCGCTCCGGTCCTGCTGGGGTAGACTGACTCCCCCTCGGGCCTCTGAGAGCACAGCAGCTGCTGGCCTGATGCCCTGAGGCAGGAGAGAGCCGCCTGCTGCCACCGATGCCACGACCAGCAAGCTGCCAACCCTTCACACCTCCTGCCAGATTTAGATTGGAAACCTAGAACAAAGTGTATCGTTCTTTTTTCCCCTCTGTCTGTGTCTTTCTCATTGGATTAATTTCCTTCGCCAGTCCCTGCCTATGTGTTTACATTGTGAAACGAACGATTTGGACGAATGGAGGGAAATTTTTAGGAGGAACGATTTGGAACTCGCGGGAGCAGAGAAAATGCATCATACCTGATAGCAGTGGGTGGTCTATGAAATCCAATTTTTCCCACTGGAGGGAGATCCCGAGTGTCACAGAGTGCATCCCCCTGCTTCTGGGAAGGCCAACCCGGAAACCATTCTGGAGAGAGACAATTCTAGGAGAGAAACTCCCCAAGCTTATGCTGGGCAGGTTTTTTTTTCTCGCTAGAAGTTCTGCCTTATGTTCGCTCCCCAGTGCTTTAGAAGCCCGTTTCTGTTGTCTTCCTTCCTATTGGTGCTTTGTGTTTGAGGAGAGCTGCGCGTGAGCGGGGCGCCCGACCTCTGGCAGATACCCATCCCTCTGCGTCTGTCCCCCCTCCTTTGTGCAGTTCCCCTTGGACCATCCCCCTGATAGGGCTGAATGCAGAGCAGGTGTGAGGCTTCACAGATGGTCGTACAACTTCAGAAGGGCCCCTGGAGAGCTGGGGGTCTTATTCTTTCTGACTCTTCCTCTGGGCCTACTGAAAGCGGGATTTGGTGATGGTGAACTCAGGAAGGGATATTTGGCTGGGGGTTACCCACAGCCTCCCCACAATTTCTGGCAGGAATAGCCCTGATGGGTCAACCTGTGCTGCATGGGGTGGGGTTCTCCTGACACTTGTCAGAATCCCTGCCGGCTAATGTGGCCCTGGAATTCACCTGAGGCCATGGCTTGGGGAGGCTGGCCCCAGTTAGTCTGCCTTCCTTTCCTGGGTCAAGCGGATACCAGGGATCACCTGGTTTCAATCTGGGGTCTGCTGGGACCTTTTTCCACCGTTAGGGATGGTTTTGGAGCAGTCTGTCTGTGCTGTCTGGTTCTTCAGCATGTAGAGTGGCTTTGACCCAACATGATGCTGATTGGAGCCAAGAGCTGGAAACCATGACCTTGGCCTTTTGATCCTATGGGGACACCCCTCTACCAGAATGCCTTCTGGGGGGTTGGAGGTGAAGAAAAGAGGTGACCCCAGCCCCATGGAAGTTTACTCAGCTGGTCCCCGCTGGCATCCTGGGTGTTTGTCTGGTCTGTTCAAGTAGGAGTGCAACACGCCACCCAGCCTCACCCCCTCCCCTATGTTTCCCTGTGGATCCCAGAAGTTATAACAGGCAGGAGGCCTGAAGATCATCCCTTCAACCCCCAGATATTCCAGGTGCCTGTTTCCTGTTTGAACTTCTCATTGAGGAAATGATCTTTTCATAGCCTTGGAATTGGAGTGGTTTTCCCAAATACTGGATCTTAAAATTTAAATATTAACCTGTTGTTATGGTGTAAAATAATGGTAAAAATGTCTTCTTTTTCTGCAGTTCAATCTATTGGGCTTTTCCTTCTTGATTCCTTATGTTGCTTCAGAGCTGAGACACTTTCCCTCCCTCTTCAGGTCTCATAAAGTGTTTTTGTTGTTCAGTTGCTCAGTTGTGTCTGACTCTTTGCAACTCCATGGACTGCAGCACACCAGGCTTCACTATCTCCTGGAGTTTGCTCAAACTCACATCTGCTGAGTCGGTGATGCCATCCAACCATCTCACCCTCTGTCACCCCCTTCTCCTCCTGCCCTCAGTCTTTTCTAGCATCAGGGTCTTTTCCAATGAGTCAGGTGGCCAGAGTATTGGAGCTTTATCTTCAGCATCAGTCCTTCCAATGAATATTCAGGGTTGATTTCCTTTAGAATAACTGGTTTGATCTCCTTGCTTGAGAGTCCAGGGGATTCTCAGAGTCTTCTCCAGCACCACAGTTTTTCTTTAAATTTATTTTAATTGGAGGCTAATTACTTTATATGTAGTGGTTTTTGCCATACATTGACATGAATCAGCCATGGGTGTACATGTGTTCCCCATCCTGAACCCCCCTCCCCATCCGATCCCGCGGGGTCATCCCAGTGCACCAGCCCTGAGTACCCTGTCTCATGCATCAAATCCGGACTGCTGATCCGTTTCACATATGATAATATACATGTTTCAATGCTGTTCTCTCAAATCATCCCACCCTCGCCTTCTCCCACAGAGTCCAAAAATCTGTTCTTTACATCTATGTCTCTTTTGCTGTCTCACATATAGGGTCATCATTACCATCTTTGTAAATTCCATATATATGCGTTAATATACTGTATTGGTGTTTTTCTTTCTGACTTACTTCACTCTGTATAACAGGCTCCAGTTTCATCCACCTCATTAGAACTGATTCAAATAGCACCACGGTTTGAAAGCATCAATTCTTCGGTGCTCAGCCTTCATTATGATTCAACTTTCACATCCAAACTTGGTGTGACTACTGGAAAAACCATAGCTTTGACTATACGGACCTTTGTTGGCAAAGTGATGTCTCTGCTTTTTAATATGCTGTCTAGGTTTGTCATAGCTTTTCTTCCAAGGAGGAAGCATCTTTTAATTTCATGGCTAGTCACCATCTGCCGTGAATTTGGAGCCCAAGAAAATAAAATCTGTCACTGTTTTCATTTTCCCCCATCTATTTGCCATGAAGTGATGGGATCGGATACCATGATCTTAGTTTTTTGAATGTTGAGTTTTAAGACAGCTTTTTCACTCTCCTCTTTCACCTTCATTAAGAGGTTCTTTAGTTCCTCTTTGCTTTCTGCCATTAGGATCTCATAAATAGGTGTTTCTATTTCCTATTTCTTTTTCTCTGATTAAAAAAAAAAAAATCCTCTAACCCTTTACTCCCTCCAGATCTAATTCCTATTCAATTACACCAGCATCACTTATTAAGAAAGCCTTCCTTTATTTATTGAGAAATTTTATCATTTGGTAAGTTTTTATTAACATATGTGGTGGGGTTTATTTTTTATTTCTGATCTGTTCCCCTGATATTTACAATTTTGCCCAGGTAAAGTACCCTTTATTTATTGCTTTACATTTCTCCCGTAGGTTCCCTCCAAGCTTCTCTGTTTCAG